CTGGGAAGACAGCACGGGAGAAGTTGTTGCAGTACATGGTGTCAGGAGTGGATGGCTTAGGTAGCAACGGAGTGCGTTTCCTCAGTGGGATGGATTCCTAGTCTCAGAACCTTCTTTATATACCCTGGCTGTGGTGTGTGGTGAAAAGCACAAGGCCCTCATTTTCATTCTTGACACCAATTTACATTCTAAAAAGCTCATTAACTTGTTTTGCCCTTGTTTATGATGTCTTTACAGTTGCCTAAGAAAGCTCTCATGTGATACAATGTGGGGAGAAGATGCCTTTAAAAAAATTACACCCCTTCCTAAAAAAATTATTGCCAGGACTTCAAAGCACATTGCCTTATAGACCCTATGTAACACCCTGTAAGCAGGCATATAATATCAAGAAAAACTCTGAGGTTATTAGCTGTCATGCAATCCTCTTGCTCTCTGAATTTCCACAACACACAGTTGGAATTCAATAAATATGTGTTAAATACATTAATAAATAAAATAACAAACGGATAGCGAGTCCATCTCAAAATTCTCAAAATTAAAGTGTGTCTTAGAATACGTGTGCTTCAAGAACTTTCTTTCTTTTGAGTATGAAAGACAAGTGCCATAGAACTCAGCAGAAAAACTCTCTTTTTCTCTATCTACAGCTACCTTGTTTGGGAAACTGGTTAAACATGTAATCTTAATCACAGTCCCCTCCTAAACTCTACCCAATATCACATTTCTAGAAGACTGCTCTAATTCATACTATTGAAATAGTAGTAAAATTTAAAATGGAGTATTTAGATTAATTCTTGTACTGAATTGTCAAACAAATTTAATTTTATAGCCTGAAATATTTTCTAAACTAAATGTTAAAACTAATAAGGTAAACACAGAAAAATGAATGAAAAAATTATCAAAAAATTTAGAACATTTTTTCTCTGAGATCTGATAAAACCAGATTGTCTGAAAAATGTGATGATATTATAAAGGGCCAGATGACAACATGAAATGAGTTGTTTCACTTTCAGAATGATCATTCACTCCAGGATAAAGAAGGAATGTTATTCCTCTCTAAGCAGAGAGTTCGTTCTCAAATATGAATTAAAGAAGGGAGAAGGCTGATCAAAACTATCCTGGATCATGTAAGACCTAATGTATTATTCCCAGACACCTGCATTAAGATTTCTTACAGTGGTACCTAGTGGAGAGCTTACAGAACAAATAGCCAGAGGACACATGGAACAGAAATAGAAAGGCACAGAGATAATAGGAATCATTCTGGAAGGCCACAAAACAGATGTGTATTACACATGAGCTCCCCTAAATTTTATTTCATAACCAGAGTAATTTTGCTCCCTGCTTTCAGCAGCTACAGATCAAAGACTGAATCCAAGAACAAGATGAGACACTTGGAAAATGCAAAACCATGCCACTGTTCTAACCGGTAGTAGATTGATTATATCAGTGGCATTTTTTAGTAGATATTTAGTATTTTTTTAGCATATTTTTAGTTTCTTTTTTGAGGTGGAGTCCTACTTTGTTGCTCAGACTGGAATGCAGTGGCTATTTTGGCTCACTGCAGCCTCTGCCTCCTGGGTTCAAGCAATTCTCCTGCCTCAGCCTCCCAAGTAGCTGGGATTACAGGCACGTACCGCTATGCTCGGCTAATTTTTGTATTTTTAGTAGAGATGGGGTTTTACCATTTTGGCCAGGCTGGTCTCAAATTCCTGACCTCAAGTGATCCACCCGCCTCGGCCTTCCAAAGAGCTGGGATTACAGGCCTAAGCCACCACACCTGGAGATTTTTTGATACAGATATGCAATGCTTAATAATTACATTCTAGAGAATGAAAACACCTACAGTACCCTGCTTCTTGAGCAAAGCTGGATGGCTGCCCATGGGGATTCAGCATTTAAAATTCAAACAATACATGTGGCTTATAGCTAAATAACTTCAGGGAATTGAAATTAGATTTATTCCCAGAATGTAAAGGTATTCAACAGTAGATTATTCCCTAAAAATCATAGAATGATTATGTTCTATTTCTACTGTCATCACATTACTGTGTTTCATGATGGAAAATTTGGTAGTGTTGGGGAAAAAGAAACATTAAACAAAAAATAGCATTGTATAACGGAACATTTTGAATTAATATTGTCAAAGGTCAGTTGATGCTCTATTTAAATGAATTCTCCCATTCACCTACCCAATCTGACAAGATGCTAGCCTTGCCTTCTGCAGCACAAAATCTAGCTCTGTACATGAATAGTAATTAAAATATGTTGTCTTTTTTAAAACTTAAGCCCTATTTATAAAGAACAGCTTGAATTTTCTCTAGAAAGCCTACAGAAAATTCCAACAAAAGAAAATTTTAGGGAAACATACCATTTAGCAACAAGCCATACAAAACTTAATAGCAAACTTAATCCTATATTGAGCCTATGAAAGCTTTATTCTGATATTAAGCTTATCAAAGAAAGAGTCAGGTTTTCATAAAGCCTGAAAAGTATACAATGTTAAGAGCCCTCTTTGTTAAAAAGTACACAATATGACAAATATAAAATTAAGTACAAAAGTAAATATTTGTTAAGATGCTTAAAAATCAGAAAAAATTAAACGCTAACAAAAAATACAAATATTACAAAATTCAGAGAAAAAATATTATTTGTGTTATGAGTTGCGTGGCACACTACTGTAATAGTTTTCTTTCCCAAAGACTAGCTTCCAGCTCCATCATTTAAAACTGTTTTCCCCTCCACTACTCATCCTGTGCCCTGTGCCATGGGAAAAACTCAGGCTGAGATATGGCCTCTGGTCCTGCATTTTCACATTACACACTCGGGGTGGATCAGCAGAGTGGTGGAAGAATTCCTGGGAGCCATTCCCACGTAAGAATGGCTAGAAGTAGCCTAATTAGATACAGAAGTGGCTGCAAAACACATACATATATCCCACCATGCCCAAACTGAACGTATCACTGACTCTACTTCTTCTTAACCAGATCCTAAATATGTCCACGGTCTCTCCAGTGCCACCCTACATGAGGGGAAATGTGATTGTGAGGCAGCCCAGTAGAAAGCAGCAGCATTTCAAACCAATTCCTGTTAAAGTATCTCCTTTTGTAAATCTTCCCCCCAAATAAGCTATGTAACGTGAAGGTTTACGAAAAAGAAAAATATATTCTCACATGTTAACTAGCATGGTAATAGACCGATCATTGATGGATATTTATTGGCTTGGAGAAAATTTATGACCCTCTTCTCTTTTAATAACAATCCTAAAACGTTGTTTAATAAATACTTTGACTTTTTCTTTCGTATTTCTTTGATTTCAAATAAGACATGATATAAATAAAGATAAGAAAACTTGCTGCTTTTTAACTTTCTGCAAGGGAGCCCTGTCTTATCAGCTTCAAATACAATGTCTACACCTTCAACATATTGCAGTTTATTAGAAATGAAAGCTAAATTCGAATGGAATGTTTTTGTTTGTTTTTATTTTTGTTTTCGTTTGGGTTTTTGTGTTTATTTGTTTGTTTGGGTTATGGTTTCTTTTGAGACAGGGTCTTGCTCTGTCACCCAGGCTGAGTGTGTGGCATGACCATTACTCTGCAACTCCACCTCCCAGGCTCACATAATAGAACGAAATGTTTTACATGAGTTTTAGAATATGTATCAGTGGTTACCACAGAATACAAAAACTATCTTCCACTCATTTTTTTAAACATCTATTCTTACAGACATTTATTGATCATGTAGTATGCTCCATACATTGCGTAGGTGCTGGGGATCCAAAGATGAATGAGAAATGGTAACTAAATGAGAAATTACAAATGAATGAAATACCTATTATATATTCTGTTATATGTTCTAGCCTAGAAGTCCTACTGCTCCTTGTAAACTTCTGGAGTAAAGGAGACAGTGGATGATTTTACCTAAAGTAGGGGCTACTTGCAGGAAAATTTCAGCATGAAAGGGATAGATACATAAACTGAGTCTTGAAAGGGGGTATTTTACTGGTGGACATTGGCTAGGAAGATAGTTGGATATAGGGAATATTCCAGAAGGAGGAAGTAGTTTAAAGCAAAGTCTCAAAAATATTAAATAGTCAAGTGTCTTCCAGGAACTACAAATAATTCAGAAAGATCATAGCCTTGGGTATAAAAGAATAATTAATGGAAGGTGATGCTGGAAAGGCCGTCAGGGGCACATATGACTGTGTGTGCTGTGGAAGGAAAGGAGCCACTTTATACACTAAAATGGGAGTGATGTAAACAATTTTACACCTCAGAAATATCACTACTCAGAGGGTGTGGAGGATGAATTAGAATAGGGAAACCACAGAGGTAGAAAGACCAGGTTTAAAACTTTGTTAGGAATGCTTTTGGCTGCAAGTTACAAAAACCCCATTTGAAAGTTGATTAAACAGAAAGAGTTTATATTTCACAAATAATAGGAAATGAGAACATAAGTAATTCCTGGGTTGCTTCAGGCCTTGACAGTGTCGGGATTCAGGGCTGGCTTCACGGTGATTCCCTCAGCAGGTACATACTTCACATTCTTATACATCAACATCCAAAACCAGGAAGAGAAAGAGGACTTTTTCTCAACAATTCCTCCTCATTTTGTTTCAGGAAGGAATATGTTTTACATTTGTCTTCCCATGGATTTCCTTTGGGGTCCATTGTCCAAAACTGAGTTGCATCTCATGACTGAGTTATAGGGGAAGGCAGAAAAATGTACACCTGCCTTTTCTGCCTAAATGATGTGAAGCAGGCTCTGGAAGCACAGAAACAGGGAGAAAGAAATGATGAATTTTAGAATTGTTTGGGAGTCAGATTTAACCAGCGTGGGGTTAATTATTGTTTGCTGGGATCGTCACCCAATGTCACCAAGGGGGATTTGACATCAGGCAATCATGAAAGACACTGTGAGAAGAAATGACAAAGGCCAGTACCTTCCAATCTTTTCGCATTATACATTTTTATAATGTGACCGAGTAATCTAACAAGACTCACAGAGAGGAGGCAGACATCCCAGGAGCTCTGGCACCTGGATCCTGCCAAATCCGGCAGATCAGCCACACCTCTGGCACACCTGTAATTCATTGCTGAGGTCCTAGAATTATGAAGCTCTGCAAAGTAATTGGGACAATTAGAGATAATAAAATAGCAGCTAAAGGACAATGTTTAATAATTGCTACAAGGAAGAATACAAAGAACACAACTTCCTGCTTCCCGAATGTCAAGTTACTTATCCCAAGAAAGATGCTCGCTTAGACTTTCGGTCTAAACTCCTAACTCTTGTCTTTCAGTTACTATTGCCTGATAAACAGATACTATGACCCTCAAAAGTGACTTTCTTTCAGCTAATTTACTAGCTTGCGTATAAAATTTAATTATTGTTGTCTAGAATCTCATATTAAGAAACTGCCTCTGGTTTTTGCTATGAAACCAAGCTACACCCATGCCTTAGGATGATGTCATCTGAATGAATAGGAACTGATATTTAAGATTGCCCTGGGCACCCCTGCATGTGCAAATCCAATGTGTCTCAACATGCTGTCAGTTTTACCTTCTTCAAGTCTGTTGGATCCATTAATTTCTGTACTGCCTCAATTGTTTCTTATTGTTGCTAAATGCCACACATTACCACAAAGTTGGTGGTTAAAATTTATTATCCCTACAGTTCTGGGTGACAGAAGTCTGAAATCAAGGTGTCAATAGGGCTGGCTCCTTCTGCAGGGACTGAGAGGACAATTCCTTTATTTGCTTTTTCAGCTTTTAGAGGACATCTGCATTCTGTGACCCATGGCCCCTTCCTTTCACCACTCCAATCTCTCACTTCTGTTGTCACATCTCCTTCTACTAATTCTGACCCTCCTGCCTCCCTCTTTTAAAACCCTGCTAAATCCGATTCAAACCAAATAAGACTTCACTGAGACGTATTATAAATAAACTGTCAAAAAAAGCAAAGACAAAGAAATGTTTGAAAGCAAGAGAAGAGATTCATCATATACAGGGGAACCTCCACAAGAGTTTAAGCAGATTTCTTTTTTTTTTTTTTAATTTTTTATTGGATTTTAGGTTTTGGGGTACATGAGCAGAGCATGCAAGACAGTTGCGTAGGTACGCACATGGCAGTGTGCTTTGCTTTGCTTCTCCCCTTCACCCACATTTGGCATTTCTCCCCAGGCTATCCCTCCCCACCTCCCCCTCCCACTGGCCCTCCCCTTTTCCCCCCATTAGACCCCAGTGTTTAGTACTCCCCTTTCTGTGTCCATGTGTTCTCATTTTTCATCACCCACCTATGAGTGAGAATATGCGGTGTTTCATTTTCTGTTCTTGTGTCAGTTTGCTGAGGATGATGTTCTCCAGATTCATCCATGTCCCTACAAACGACACAAACTCATCATTTCTGATTGCTGCATAATATTCCATGGTGTATATGTGCCACATTTTTCCAATCCAGTCGATTATCAGTGGGCATTTGGGTTGATTCCAGGTCTTTGCTATTGTAAACAGTGCTGCAATGAACATTCGTGTACATGTGTCCTTATAGTAGAACGATTTATAGTCTTTTGGATATATACCCAGTAATGGGATTGCTGGGTCAAATGGAATTTCTATTTCTAAGGCCTTGAGGAATCGCCACACTGTCTTCCACAATGGTTTAAGCAGATTTCTTAGCAGAAACCTATCAGACCAGGAGAGAACAGAATGACATATTCACAGTGTTAAAGAAAAAACCTGCCAACCAAGGACACTTTATTTGACCAAGTAGTCATTCAGAAATGAGAAAGAGACAAAGACTTCCCAAACAATAGCTGAGGAAACGTATCATTACTAGGCCTGCCTTACAGGAAATGCTACAAGCAGTTCTTCAAGCTGAAATGGATGTTAATTAGCAATATGGAAATATATGTCAGTATAAAACGCACTGGTAAAGGAAAGCACATCATCAAACTGAGAATATTCTGATACTGTAATGGTAATGTATAAATCGCTTATAATTTTAGGATAAAGACTCAAAGACAAAATTACCAGAAAGAACTTTAGCTAGGATAATTTGTCAGCGGATACATAATAAAATAAGGTTTAAATATTGACATCAAAAATGTAAAGTGTTGGGGAGGCAGCAGAAATGCACAGTATTTGTTTGTGATCAAAGTTCATTTGCTATCAGCTTGAAGTAGACTTTCACTTAAGGCTCATGGTATTCCAAAGCAAAACCTGTAGTAGTTATACAAAAGACCAAGAGAAATGAATCAAAGCATACAACTTTAGAAAATCATCTATTTACAAAGAAAGACACCAAGAGAAAAGAAAGGAACAAATTACAAAACAACTTGAACACAATTTTCAAATTGGCAACAGTAAATCTTTACCTATCAATAATTATGTTAAATGTACTGCCCACTGAAGACTTGCTTCACTTTTAAGGATGCACACAGATTGAAAGTGATGACATGGAAAAAGATAGTCCAGCAAACAGAAACCAAGAGAGAGCAGAAGTAGCTTCAGACCAAATAGACTTTAAGTCACAAACTGTCACAAGAGACAAGGATGCTTATTATTTAATGACCAAGGGGTAAATTTATCGATACATATCATAATTCTAAACACATATGTACCCAACATGAGAGATCCTAAACATATAAATCAACTATTAATAGATCTGAAAAAAGATAGAAATATACTTATAGTACAGAGCTTCATGCCCCATTTTCAACAATGAATAGATAATCCAGACGGAAAATCAGTAAGGAGACATTGTACTTGAACTTAGACCAAATGAACCTAACATGTGTATACAGATAGTCCATGCAACAGCAACAGAATACACATTCTTCTCAAGCACATACAGAACATTCTCCAGTATATATCATGTTAGGCCACAAAATAAGTCTTAATAAATTTAAGATTGAAATCCTATCAAGCATCTTTTTCAACTATAACTGAATGAAACTAGAAATCAATAACAGGAGGAAAACTGGAAAATTCACAAATATGAGGAACATAAACAACATCTTCTGAACAGCCAGTGGATCAAATGAGGAATGAAAAACATCTTGGCAGGGCATGGTGGCTCATGCCTATAATCCCAGCACTTGGGAGGCCAAAGCACGTGGATCACTTCAGGTCAGGAGTTCAAGACTAGCCTAACCAACATGGTGAAATCCTGTCTCCATTAAAAATACAAAAATTAGCTGGGCATGGTGGCACAAGCCTGTAGTCCCAGCTACTTAGAAGGCTGAGGCAAGAAAATTACATGAACCCAGGAGGTGCAGGTTGCAGTGAGCTGAGATCTTGCCACTGCACTACAACCTGGGTGACAGAGTGAGACTCTGTCTTAAAAAAAAATAGAAAACCTCTTAACACACTAAAAAAAAACTAGAAAAAAAAATACCAAAACTTTAGAATGCAGCAAAAGTTCTAAAATATGTTTATAGCAATAAATTCTACATTAAGAAAAATCAGAACTTCAACTAAACAACCTAATTTTATACTTAAAGGAACTAGAAGAAAAAGAACAAAGTCCAAAGTTATTAAGAAAAAAGGAAATAAAGATCAGAGCAGAAATAACTGTGGAGTCTAAAAAACAGAGAAAATAGCAACAAAACTAACAGATGATTTTTTAAAACATAAACAAAATCGACAAACCTTTAGCTAGACTAAAAAAAGGGGAAAAAGACAAATAAAATCAGAAATAAAAGAAGAGCTAATATAACTGATACTACAAAAATATAAAAGATCCTAAGAGACTACTGTAAACAATTATATCTCAAAATAATTGGATAACCTTCAATAAAAGGATAAGTCCTAGAAACATGCTACCCACAAGAATACATCATGAAGAAACAGGAAATCTTAACAGACCAATAACAAATAATAATATTGAATCAGTAATAAAATATCTTGCAACCAGAACCAGATGGCTTCCCCATTGAATTCTGTAGAACATTTAAGAAGAACTAATACCAATCTTTCTCAAAGTCCTTCAAAAAATTAAAGAGAAAGAAATACTTTCAAACTCATTTATGAAGCCAGCATTGCCCCAATACCTAATTCAGACAAGGACACTACGAGCAAATGAAATGATAGGACAATATCCATAATGACCATAGACGCAAAAATACTAGCACCAAATTTAAAAGCATGTTAACAGGATCATACACATGATCAAGTAGAATTTACCTCTGATATGCAAGAGAGGTTCAGCATACACAAATTAATCAATGTGATACACTTTACACATTAATAGGATAAAGGATAAAAATTATTTGATCATCTCAGTCAATGACCCAGCAATCCCATTACTGGGTATATACCCAAAGGATTATAAATTATTCTATTATAAAGACACATGCACACATATGTTTACTGCAGCACTGCACAAAATAGCAAAGACTTGGGACCAACCCAAATGCCCATCAATGATGGACTAGATAAAGAAAATGTGACACGTATACACCATGGAACATTATGCAGCCATTGAAAAGGATGCATTCATGTCCTTTGCAGGGACATGGATAAAACCGGAAACCATCATTCTCAGCAGACTGACACAAGAACAGAAAACCAAACACCACATGTTCTCACTCATAAGTGGGTGTTGAACAATGAGAACACATGGACACAGGAGGGGAACATCACAAACCTGGGCCTGTTGAGGAGTGGGGAGATAGAGGAGGGATAGCAAGGGATGGGGGTTAGGGGAGGGATAGCATTAGGAGAAATACCTAACATAGATAACAGGGTATGGATGAAGCAAACTACCATGGTGCGTGCATACCTATGTAACAAACCTGCACGTTCTGCACATATACCCCAGAACTTAACGTATAATAAGGAAAAAAAGAATTTGACAAAATTAAACAATCCTTCATGATAAAAATTCTTAACAGATTAGGTATAGAAGACATGTACCTCAACATAATAAATGAATAAAACAATAACAGTCTCAGAAATAAAACAAAGTGTTTCTATTGCTCCTATTGCTTTCAGGATAATATTTTTTCATCTTTAACCTAAAAGTTCTCAACTTCCTCTTTGCTGAGTTTTGCTGTCTTTTGGTTCTTCAAACTTCACATGCTCCTCTACTCTCAAGCTTTGACACATGCTGTTTGTTCTG